ATCGCAATTTTTTGATTTTGGAGAGCCCGGAGATTTCCACGTAGCACTTTAGCGCTTTGTTCGAGGTTCATACTTGAAGCACCGCGTCCCATCACTAGTTACAATTGATTCCAGGAATGTACAGTTTCGTCTGGCTTTGATAACATCTCGCAATATTCAACGCTCGCAATTTGTTGCTTGCCCATGATTTTGTGACACGGACGAAAGATTCTGTCGCTATAAGTTATTCTCGATTCCAATAATTGTTGTGTTTTGTAGGGGATACTGTTTTCAGATAACATATTTAATAGATGGCGTTGGTAGTTTTGACAAGTATGTCAAAATGACTTACACGGTAGTGTAAATCGACATGCGAAGAAAAGAGAATGCAAGGTCAAGGTAGAAAAGCATCCCGAATGGAGATAACGAGCGTAAAATGTCTGAGCGCGGTTTAAAAGCAGTGGTCTCGTTCGAAAGAGATTTTTCGGGGGTTGTTTTACAGCAAATAGTTACAGGGCAAAATAAAACGGGGGAAGAGCCCGGGGCTAGCGTTTTTACACGTGTCGGCAGGTTTTACGCGCGGACCCTCGTTATCTGCGCGCACAGTAAGCGCGGGACAGGGACAGACAACAGCGAAGAGATGGGTGAAGCTCGCAATGGCCGAAGAAAAAGGGAGATTGTAAAAAAGCCGGCACGGATCGTAGGGTGTTAACGCGTGCATTAACGGAGCTTTCGTCGGGCAAATAAAAAACGATATGCACGTATGTACGATGGATTTTCGTGTCGATCCTAACAAAAATCTGGCCAGGTGAAAGAGCACGAGCCCGTGAAAGTGAATCAAAACGCGTTGTTCTCGATTCCTTTTATTTCTCCCCTCTTCTGCGCCGATGTCCCTTTGTCAAAACGGAGAATACCGGATCCGCTTTGGTTTGCCCGCCGATGAATGAATGAAAATGCGTGCCATTTTTTACGGGCCTTTTACCCACGATTCTCTGTCTCGGATCAAAGGTAGGGAGGATCGATCCGCCAACGGAAATCGAGCAAACGAACGCACCGGAAAATTGCACTGTTTACGTTCAATTACTTAGGAGCGTAGCTCCGCGTGCAATAAACAAGATTACCAGCCCAATGAAATATGCAACCGCTTCGAGTTTGCTTAATTTCATTCGCGATCCAACGATGCTCAGACTTCCTTTTATCATTGCCAGATACGGGAAAATGGTCTTACATTTTGTATTATATAATTGGTCCGTTTGGTTTCCTTTTAAATCGTTTTTTATTTCAATCAATTTTTCGTAGTTTTGCTTTATTTGATTTTAGCTCTTTTCGTACCTCGAGCGAAGTGAATTTTGGGGTATTTATTTTGAGCTCTTTTCGTACTTTCATTTTTGACACTTCTCATATTTTAATTCGCGGAAATAAATATTTATGGTAATACGGAAGATCGATGCTAATATTTCTCTTTTAATATCTATTTCCGTTTTTTGATGTTTTGTATAACTGGTTTCATATTTTCGCGAGAAAATTCGATTAAATTCCATAAATAAATAAACGATAGAGATAAAGTACAGGTCTGCGGTAATACACTTGTCATATATTATGATACAATTCTATATAGTCAGATTGTGTTGGCCATAAACTAAATAAATTTCACGATTCGTTTGTTTTCAACAGTACAGTA